CACACACACACACACACACACACACACACACACACACACAAAGCATAAATACGAAGAGACACACGCATATGAACTTGTAGTGAAGCGATTCATGGGCAAAGAAGTTACCATCTGACGTCTGGCCAACAGTCGATTTGTCATTACCTTGTTGGTTCGTATTGTAACTAATGAATCACTCTGAAACATTCAAATTGTACTCATCAATTTTGTTTTGCTTCATGAACCAATATTTTCTCTTGCACGGGAATGGTGTTTCGCACTTCGCGCGCTACAAAATTAGAAGGGGTGATGTTTGCTTGTTCGAAACTTGGCGAAATTTGTTCAATGTAATCCACAATGCCTTGCTCCTTTGGCTCAATCCCATTAAAAAAAAAACCGCAGGAGCTGCGCAGGCAAATAAGGGGGATCTGCTCTATCGCCGGACTTATAGAGCAGAACTGTCCGGCCCCTACAAAACCAAGGCCCGGGAACCTGGGTGATGTCTAGGGTTTGGATGATATGTTTCCGCAGCCTGGCTCCTGATGAGGGTAACTTTTTCCACCAGAAAGCCTGTATCCCATCGGGACCTGGGGCTTCCCAGGGTTTTGCACGTTTGATAACCCAGTCAAACGATCCACAGTGCTTTGCTCCTTTGGCTCAGTCTCATAAAAAACCGCATAAATTTTAATTCTACAAGGAAAAAAGTGGAAAACACAAAGTGTGTTTAAGAAAACAGTAGCAATTTGCAGAAGGAGCATGCAATATTGAAGAACTATGGCCAGTTCTTAAAACATAGATCTACAGAACTTGCTCGTGACGAAACAGCATCATCGCCGTCCAGTCCCCAACGAGAGCAAAAAATAAAATACACTAACCATGATGATGAGCGGCTCTATTTGCAGACTTCTCTAGTACTGCTCTCTCTGGACGGGCACGTAGCCGAGTACTCTGAAAAAAAAAAAACCCATCAGCCAATGCTCCGTTGAGGATCGCCAGCAGACTGACCACCACGCAACAGGAAACACCCCACAAAGCTGCTGGAATGGCGGCACACCGTGGGAGAAGCAAGCGATGAAAAGAAGACAGCACGGCCAGCCCTCGAACACTAAGTGCGCCATCAGACGGTCAATCAATGGCGGCAAAAGTGACCA